CATCCAGTGGAGCTGCATCTACGTCACCTTTCAGTTTCAATGCAATCAGCATAACATAATTTATCAATGTGACATGGGTTTTTGTGGGCCAACTCAAGCCATCTAGAATCTATGAATAACATCTACCACATTGCCTGTGGGTCTATTGGCTGGAATATTGGTTGACAGGATACTTTGCAATGTCCTCTGTTACCTCTGGCCTCTCTTCCTACAACTATAGACGGTGACACAGAAGACTGTGTCAAGCTGTTACAGTGAGAGTACAAGAGGTGGGAAGGAAATCGATCAAATGAGACAGAGAACCAACCAGTGTGCTGATAAGATTGAAGACCACCAACAATTAAAGACCACCAACGTGTATGGTGTTGTGTACTGTGCTGCTGTACAAAAATAAAATTAAGGTGTCATTATTTCAAACCAGTGAGCATTTAATAATCATAACTGTTTACATGTAGCATACAGTGTTTGTGCTTCCTGATACAGCAAACCTTTGGATTGCCATCCATCTTTGTAAACCACAGAGCGTAGTCAGAGGCTGAACATAATGAGCCAACATTTCACAATCAGGATGAATGGAGCAATGGTTATCTTTGGAAAATACATTATAAATGTCTCTTTGTGAAGCATCATTTGTTCTAATTTCACTGCAAGATAACCTGACAATTGACACACAGACAAACAGATTACAATTGCCTCATGTTGACAAAATCATGTACCCTTCTGTCATTGGTGATTCTGTTCTTGATTAAACAATTGTTTAATTTTACCAGTGTACTAACTCTCTCTCATAGCACACAAGGATAGGACAGTGTATAAATAACATTATGTCTGGGAAAGCAAGGCCATGGGAAAATGAATGGTAATACAACTGATAAGAGCTGTGATTACATTGATACATGCTTAAACTAAGACTAAAGTAAGCATAGGGATATGTGCTGAAGAACGAAACATACAGTGAGGGAAAAAAAGTATTTGATCCCCTGCTGATTTTGTACGTTTGCCCACTGACAAAGACATGATCAGTCTATAATTTTAATGGTAGGTTTATTTGAACAGTGAGAGACAGAAAAACAACAAAAAAATCCAGAAAAACGCATGTCAAAAATGTTATAAATTGATTTGCATTTTAATGAGGGAAATAAGTATTTGACCCCTCTGCAAAACATGACTTAGTACTTGGTGGCAAAACCCTTGTTGGCAATCACAGAGGTCAGACATTTCTTGTAGTTTGCCACCAGGTTTGCACACATCTCAGGAGGGATTTTGTCCCACTCCTCTTTGCAGATCTTCTCCAAGTCATTAAGGTTTCGAGGCTGACGTTTGGCAACTCGAACCTTCAGCTCCCTCCAAAGATTTTCTATGGGATTAAGGTCTGGAGACTGGCTAGGCCACTCCAGGACCTTAATGTGCTTCTTCTTGAGCCACTCCTTTGTTGCCTTGGCCGTGTGTTTTGGGTCATTGTCATGCTGGAATACCCATCCACAACCCATTTTCAATGCCCTGGCTGAGGAAAGGAGGTTCTCACCCAAGATTTGACAGTACATGGCCCCGTCCATCGTCCCTTTGATGCGGTGAAGTTGTCCTGTCCCCTTAGCAGAAAAACACCCCCAAAGCATAATGTTTCCACCTCCATGTTTGACGGTGGGGATGGTGTTCTTGGGGTCATAGGCAGCATTCCTCCTCCTCCAAACACGGCGAGTTGAGTTGATGCCAAAGAGCTCCATTTTGGTCTCATCTGACCACAACACTTTCACCCAGTTCTCCTCTGAATCATTCAGATGTTCATTGACAAACTTCCGACGGACCTGTATATGTGCTTTCTTGAGCAGGGGGACCTTGCGGGCGCTGCAGGATTTCAGTCCTTCACGGCGTAGTGTGTTACCAATTGTTTTCTTGGTGACTATGGTCCCAGCTGCCTTGAGATCATTGACAAGATCCTCCCGTGTAGTTCTGGGCTGATTCCTCACCGTTCTCATGATCATTGCAACTCCACGAGGTGAGATCTTGCATGGAGCCCCAGACCGAGGGAGATTGACAGTTATTTTGTGTTTCTTCCATTTGCGAATAATCGCACCAACTGTTGTCACCTTCTCACCAAGCTGATTGGCGATGGTCTTGTAGCCCATTCCAGCCTTGTGTAGGTCTACAATCTTGTCCCTGACATCCAACGAGAGCTCTTTGGTCTTGGCCATGGTGGAGAGTTTGGAATCTGATTGATTGATTGCTTCTGTGGACAGGTGTATTTTATACAGGTAACAAGCTGAGATTAGGAGCACTCCCTTTAAGAGTATGCTCCTAATCTCAGCTCGTTACCTGTATAAAAGACACCTGGGAGCCAGAAATCTTTTTGATTGAGAGGAGGTCAAATACTTATTTCCCTCATTAAAATGCAAATCAATTTATAACATTTTTGACATGGGTTTTTCTGGATTTTTTTGTTGTTATTCTTTCTCTCACTGTTCAAATAAACCTACCATTAAAATTATAGACTGATCATTTCTTTGTCAGTGGGCAAACGTACAAAATCAGCAGGGGATCAAATACTTTTTTACCTCACTGTACCAGATGAGGACTTTGTTTGAGGGCTAGAACTAAATGATGGAAAAATGTCTGTCTCACATGTCAGGAAACAATGTAAACTTTATGCAAATGAAAGCTTCCCCAGAAGATGAATGAGATTGTAAAACCAAAGCAATAATAGAGGCCTTGATACAACAGGACAAGCAGCCTTAGGAAACCTCTGTATGAGCTTGTGCAGAGCTCTCATTATCAAGCTATAACAACCTACAATATCTAAACAGTTTGCTAAGATCTTTTTTATTTATATGTGCGATCCAACATACAGTATGAATAATACATGCAGTATTGATATTGCACTTATGAATTCAGATTGTGTATAGGCTATATTGTTAATCATTATCATTATAAACATTGCATTGACTGACCATGACCACTGACTGACCACTAAAATAAAACATAATAAATCTCTCTCCAGTTACATTGATCAGTAAATGGAGATTACAGAACATATCTGTCATGAGAGATTGATGATGTGACATATATAGAAAGAGCCTTTAGCTCTGCGGGAACTTGATGAGATCTCAAGGGATATAGTCTGGACTCATGAAGATGTGAAATAGAAATGGTATCTTCTGGCTTGAATCCAATGGAGGGAGCTGGGAACATTGGTATTCATAACACAATAAAACATGGATGTGAATATCATTTTCCATACAAAGTTGCCAGGTTGATTACAGTCCAGAAAAACTGTACCACCATATTTGCTGTAAGCAACAGGTTCTTTCTCTGGAAATGATCTAGCTAAACGTCAATTTTTCTCTTTCTTTAAATTACATTTGGTAACAAAAACATTTGTTAAATTCACAGAAGTTCACTCCAACAGACTTCCATCATGTGATCATAAAAAGCATATAATTCTGTGAACATTTCTGTGGAAATTCTCCAGTAAATGGGTAGAATCTCTCAAATTCCCTGTCTAAAATAGAGCCATTGGGCACGTTCGAGAGGATCACTTTTGTCAAGACGTTGACCATCATTGGTCACCGCCTTTCAAAGTGTGTTGCATTATGGACAAAAAAATGTGTCAGACTTCCGACTACGCATCGACTGCATGAACTTTACAAAAATCACGTGATCAAAGGTCATGCAGTTTCTGATTAAGTCACCTTCAAGTCGCTGCAGTTGCTTCTCACCAACTGCACCATGCAGCCATCACCTGCATTATGGGAGGCACTATTTGTCAACCAATCATTAGGGTGTTTTGTAGTGATGGGCATTCCAAGTCTTTTCGATAAGCCAGATCTTTTGGCTCCGTTCACCTAAAAGAGCCGTTCATTTGGCTCCCAAACAGCTCTTCGTTCAGTAGTGCATAGAAATGGATGAAAAAACATGAAAAATAGAGCATTTCTAATGTATAGCCTAAAAGTTTGCCTACCTTTATGTCAGATGGTGAAATGTGAGTTTAAAAAAAAAATTGCCTGAAGAAATTAGATTGCTTGCAAAAAACACATAGCCAAAATTTGCGTGGACCAGAATGAGGCACTCTCCTCACTACCTATTGTTCCTGCAGTGAGGAATTAACATCTTCACATATAGTTTTTCTAACTTATCTACAGATAATCGTTGTCTGGAGTTTTTTTTTAAAGCAGTAGTAGCAGTATGCAAATCAGAGAGCCAAATGATTGTCTCTTTCACAGATGCGATTCAGTTCCCAATGTTGACCAAAAAGATCCATTCAAAAAGAGCTGTTTGTTTTTGTTTGACGCATGCGAACGATGTGACTGAAACAGGAACCAACTTTACCGCGATTCTAAAGCTACAGGGTATACAAATCATCTTTAACCAATAAATTGTACACACATTATGTTTTCAGTTTGTGAGTGTGTGATATGGGGGTATAGAAAAGTTTATTTCGACATTTATACAGAAAAACGTTTATAAACAATAGCAGCTATGTTGATACTGCCATGCTGATTTGAGATTTGCTGTTGGAAAACCACCAGTGTCCGACTTTCGGCTGTCACAGATGCACCTCCCCGACAATTTTCGTCTAGGCTTAGTTAGGCTTACTGCTCGAACACACCCATTGACATGAACAGGGTTGATGGTGAGGACTATTGTTTGAGGAAAGAGCGTCCACTTCTGGTAAGTAAACGAATGTGCATACATTACATTTATTCTGCATCTGTCACATTGAAATCCTTACAAGTACATTTCCTGTTGGCTATCCGTTCTTTTATACCTCAGTGAGGCTATCACAAATTGTGTCACTTAATTTACATTTCAGACAAGCCTACTCACCATTACATAAAAGTCTCCCCACCTCAGTTTCTTTCACAGCATTAGCACGAATCACTGTGAAATCCAGCACAATAGGTACGCTATGCATAATTTCTGTAAACAAACATTTAAGATAAATTCATGCTTTATCATCCACTAACATTAGTGCACGCAGAAATAATATTGTAGACGGAAATGACCTCACACGAAATGGGCGCATGAATACCTGAAAGAAACAGTAAACACGGCTGGCTAGCTAGGTATTTTGTTTATAGTTTTTCCCCCCTAGTTATTTAACCACATTGTTCAAATGTTAATATTGCTTTAGCTTCAACCAATCGAAAGTGAAAACAACTTAACTATTCTTCAACCGACTTGCAAATTCAGAAGACTGATATCGCAGATCTATGTTCATGTTAGCTAGCTAGCTTGCTGCTAGTTTCGAACGGTCGGGGTTTCGAGCATACTGCTACTAGCTAGTCAGCGTGCTTGTGTAGCTATGACTCATGAACTAGCTAGCTAGTATACAGTATATAGCTAGACCTTAGGTAGCTATACCATTTGTCACGTGATGTATGTTTATGTAAGTGTCGTGATGGTATCGGAGAGGAATATCATAGGAATTCAATCTAGCTAACGTTAGTCACATAAGAAGGGAATTATAGCTAATGTTATTCACTAGCTAGCTAACTAGCTAATAACCTGGTAGTCTGTCACACTAGTACTACCACCAATGTAGTTCGTGATTTACATTATTCTTCTTGCTAGATCTTCAGATAGGCCTAATAAATGATTATAAATGGAATAAGTATCTAGCATGATGTTGGGTGCATGGGGTGTTAGCTAGCTAGTTTAGTTGGCTAGTTATACATAGAACTGTAGCTACATGATCATGTTTATTTTTCCCTTTCATGTCTCATCTCACCCAACCACATCAGCATGTGAAACGTCATGGGAAGAGTGAGTATTAGCTAGTAGTAGTGTGCCTAATGTGAGAGACCAGGAATAACCAGCAATGGCTGAGGATGGGGAGCTGAACCAAATGGGGAGCCCCACCGGCTCATCTGGTCAATGTGGCCGCCAGACATATCGGAGTTGTGCCCATTCCCGCAGCCTGTTGGATGGGCTGCTTGGCCTGAGGCAGGGTGGCATCCTGTTTGATGTAGTGCTCCTGGTGGAGGGCAGGCCCATTCAAGCCCATCGCATCCTCCTGGCTGCCGCATGTGACTACTTCAGGTAGGCCTGTCTGCCTGGCACTTACCCCTTCGTTACTTTAAATCTGAAAGACTTTAGTCATTTCTCCCCTAGTCTCGCTTTGGGAAGAGGCTATTACTCCCCTAACCCTGCCTGTGTTTTCTCCAGAGGGATGTTTGCTGGAGGGCTCAGAGAGACACAGCTGACAGAGATTCCAGTGCATGGGGTGACCTACACTGCCATGACCAAACTTCTGGACTTCATCTACACATCGGAGCTTGAGCTAGACCTGGACAACGTGCAGGAGGTCCTGGTTGCTGCCACTCTTGTACAGGTATGTTATTTTTTAATGTGTCCTTTGGATCAAAGTCATATGTCTTGGGCTGTATCCCCCAGCTGACCTTTGCATTTGATCTTTTGTAGATTGAGGATGTTATTGGCTTTTGCTGTGACTTCCTCTTTTCCTGGCTGGATGACAGCAACATCTTGGAAGTTGACAAGCTGGCTGACGTGTATGGGCTGCAGCAGCTGGGGGCCAAGGTGCACTCCTACATCCTGACGAACATTCAGACGTTCTCTCGCACAGAGGTGTACCGCCAGCTTCCCCCAGAGAAGGTCCTCAGTGTGCTGAGCAGTGACGAGCTGGAGGTCAGCTCAGAGAACGAGGTGTACGAGGCAGCTTTGCACTACCACTACAGCCCAGAGCAGGTGGAGACAGACCAGGTGTCCCTCCAGGTAAGGCCAGCCGGTTAGTCAGCCACTCTCTTTGAGACATTGGAGGCTGTTTGCCCGTGGTCTTGATACTGCCGTACATCAGAAGCAGTAAAAGAATGCATACCCTCCACTGGCCATTTTGTATTACATGAAAATTCAATAACTTTGAAAGCTGTGTCACGTTTGACCACCAGGCTTGTATAGATACATGGCTGGTGAATGGCACCTTGATATCAGAGATGAACAAACTCAGTTGGGCCTTTGTGTAGGGATGTGTGGAACAGACTGTTCAGCACCATTACTCATTCTCCCTCTCTCTCTCTCACAGGACAATCTGAGGATGCTGGAGGCAGTGCGTTTCTGCCTCATGGACAAACAGGTGTTGCAGAGACTGTTTGGGCGGCTGAATCAGTGTCCGCTGAAGGACTTTGTGGCAGCTGCACTGCATTACCACGAGCAGGAGCTTTGGCAGCCCATCCTTCAGGGCCCCCTCACCCAGCCCCGTTCCAACTTCAACTGCATCCTTGGCTTCGGGGGTATGTTATCCTCTAGCTCACTGACTGAGAGCGAAGAATTGTTCCAGGTTTATCACCCTAGCTGGGGTGAGTGGAGGACACTCGCGGCTGCTCAGGCCCCCCGCATGTCCAACCAAGGTATCGCCGTGCTGAACAACTTTGTCTATCTGATTGGGGGAGACAAAAACACCAGCGGCTTTCGTGCAGAGACTCGCTGCTGGAGGTGAGACCCAATAGCATAGACAGACCCACTCTAACAGAGTATTGATCTGATCATTAGGCCTGCTGTCATGATCTACTGTATGGTTCTCTTAACTATCTACCATACAGAGCAGAATGCGGTGTCTGACAATGAAAGAAGCCACTGTATAGACGTGAAACTAAAGAAAATGGACATGAAACAAGTTGTAAATCAGGACTATGTATTCCTATCATAAAAGAGTAGGCTACATGTATAAAAACTGACTGGTGTCAGCTCAAAATGTCATCTGACTGAAAAGTTGTTGTGTTGCTCCATCTGGTTGAGTTCCCATGTAATTGAATTTGAACTCTAATTTGCTCCAAAAATCTGTTTACTGCTGACTTAATTTCTCCTTGAACAGACAGAGAAGTCTTGTTTTTCTTTGGATTGAAATCACTGCAGTTGACATCTTTGCAATCATTTTGCATGACAAATATCCCACAAAAAAATAACTTTCTAAATATCACTGTAATTGCCAGTTAATTAGCATGTCCTCTTTTTGACATTTGCCATTAACTAATGAAAAATCGTGATATTTGATCTCAAGCACTCAGTCTCCTCTTCACAGATATGACCCTCGCCACAACATCTGGAGCTCTATCAAGCCCCTGCAGCAGCAGCATGCAGACCACTGTGTCTGTGTGCTGGACGGACACATCTACGCTATTGGGGGACGCGACTACAGCATTGAACTGGAGTGTGTAGAGCGCTACGACCCACACACCAACACCTGGGAATATGTGGCAGCCCTCAGGAGAGAGGTAGGATCACACGATCGATCATGTCATAAAGACATAATAATGCCAAAGATCAAAACCTCTCTTAAGTATGTACTCACATTGTCCACAAGAGGGTGTTAGATATTCACTGATATCTGTTTGTCAGTGTCTATCAAAGTATGGAGGGAGAAGGGATTTCTGAGGAACCTTCCCTTGAGATAAACAACAACATAAACAACAAGTAGGACCAGTTCACCATTTGTTAGAATAATCAAATAAATATGGATTTCCTCCCTGAATCAGCTGTTCTTGATATTCCGGTGGCCATTGTCCTGATTTTTGATGTTGTGCCGATCCTGTCCCTGAATACTAGTCTAGACTTCCCTCTAGGTGTATGCACACGCCGGAGCAGTCTTGGATGGCAAGATGTACGTCACTTGTGGGCGGCGGGGAATAGCATACCTGAGGGAGACATACTGTTATGACCCCCAGCACAACCAGTGGGCAGCGTGTGCAGAGGGACCGGTGGAGCGGGCATGGCATGGCATGGCTGCGGTCAATGGACGAGTCTATGTCATTGGTGGCAGCAATGATGAGCGCGGGTACCGCCGAGATGTTCTCAAGGTACCGTACCGCCACTTACCAATGATATTCAAAGTGACTGAGCAACAGTTTGTAATGCAACAAAGGCTTGAGGTGTAAGATGTAAAGTAATGTACTAAGTTACTGGCCTCTTTTCCAGGTGGCGTGCTACAGCCCAGCAGCTAACTCTTGGTCTGAGATGAGTCCTCTACCAGCTGGTCATGGGGAGCCCGGTGTGGCAGTACTCGGCAGCCTGATCTACATACTAGGTGGGCGCTCTCACGACAAGGGCAACCGTATGAAATACGTCCACGTGTATAACACAGAGGCAGACCTCTGGGAGAGTGGGACAGCATTCGAGGAGCGCATCTCCGGCCTGGCAGCCTGCGTGGTGCTCCTCTCCCGTGCTGTGATTGGTCAGGCCAAGAACTGGGAGCAGCGCACCAAGGCATCTTGGGAGGACGTGGATTTGGACAACTCTGAGGACTGACTGACGTGGTCCTGACTGTGGAGGAGGAGACTAGAGAGGTGTTCAGAGGTGGCGTTGAGCTGAATCTGAGGGGAATCTGTTATTTGCTGAATCTTTTATTTTGCATGCAAGGGTGAAGGAATCCTTGTGGTATTTCCCTAGCTTGTTTGATACAGTGGTGATGGGAGGGTAGTCTCTACCTGCATGTTGACCACACTGAGTGCCTCTGAAGCAAAGTGTAAACCAAGGCCTTTTGCCTCTTTCTCTTGTGTTGTTGCTCCAACATCAGTACTTCTGGAGGCCTTCTCCCGTCCTTGCAGCTTGCCCTCACTTTGACCTGAAGACGTTACTGCGTATGTGTGCCAGATTGACAGATTAAGGTGACTTTACCACTTTGGTCTATCACTGGTGTTCCCCTTTACTGTATGCAGAGAGGAGAAGAAAGAAGGATCCTATTGTGAACACTTCCTCCACAAAATCATATGTTTCACAGCTCTTCAACTTAACATTACACCCAGTTCAAATGAGGCACAAGGGTATTCATTGACTATGCAATAATTTGATGAGGAGGAGTACTCGAAAGTGATCTCGGTTAACAAAATCTATAATCTCATGTTATTTAGTTTGACATTTTAGACCAAATAATAACCTTCCTTTTACAGTATCATTACATGTATAATATTTCAGTTGTTTAATGTTGCACTTGTGAAGGAAACAGGCCATTAATTTGCCAGCTTGGAAACTGAAACTGTTTGTCTTGTTCTGTTGAGCCTGATTCATGGTTTATGTTCCAATGTTGGCCCTTATAACCACTGGTTATTACTATGATATCATGAGAAAGGCAATAACTCATCATGCACTTTAAATTAATAATGATTAATTTGTCTTATTTCCACACTGTGCCTTGTTTTCTCTGTTACACCTAAGAAAGGGTTTCTTGTTTGGTTAGAAATGGGCCTCTTCTATCACAGTTTATCAAATTGTTGTTGATGAAAGAAAAGTCACTAATTGTTGTCAGTGGATTTGAATAAAGATGTAGTAAACGTGATCATACTACAGTTGGTACACATGAAATCATTCAGAATATTTTGCCCTGCATCTCAGTAATAAAAACAAGATAATATTCTAAACCCCAAGACAGCTGTTTGCCTATATATGTGACTTTTTACAGAGCAACAAATAATTGTAGAGAATGATTTAGTGAATAATTACTACTAATTCATGTAGTAGTAATCATTTATTTATTTGCAATTCCCTTTATGCCCAATTTAATTCCTCTATATACTGAGATTTACATGGTATTGACCAGGCCTGAGTGGTTGTCTGTCCTCTCATGGTGGTTGTTGTTGCCTTATGCCCTTTATCCTGCCCAGTCTCTGCTAGTTCCTCTCCATTTGGTCCTATAGCCCATTGACTTTATGAAGCTTGACTGCTGCTTTCCTCTCCAAGGCTGTTTCATCTGCATCTGCAAACCCCCATCATCCCCCAGTCAGTGCCCCCCTCTTTATTTCACACTGTCGTGCCAGTCCCCGCTGTGTCGTTTGGTCTGCTGATGCGGCCTCTTGTTTTGGACATCCAGCTCAGCTAGCACAACCTGCTACGTTTTCATGGTGTCCATAAACAGCAATCTATTCATTCTGACACCACTGGCCACCTGGGGAATAATGAAGACATATGTCACGTATTTGGCATTGTCAGAGAGAGCTTAGGCCTTTACACACTTTAGAGTGAAGGTCGATTTAGAGCCCTTTGCTTGTGCATTATCAGAGCTATTAAAATGCTTAAATTGCCCAGTGATGCTGTCTTGAAGAGTTTATGCAAAGTGGAATGTTGGATGTGTGTCTTGGGGGTTGTTACATAAGAGAAGTGTTTGTGCTCTGAGCCCTGTCCTGTCCTACTGCAGGGCCTGTCTCAGTGTTGATGGAGAGCCAGCCAGCGTAATAAGTCATTAGGCTGGTGATGAAAGAGGAAGGTTGGGACAGACCTGGGGACGCAGCTCTGCACTTGAAAAGGGTCCTGCTGACAATTTGACATCTGTCAGGGGAGGGAGTGGGCCGGGCCTGAGTCCAACCCCCAGAACATCACACTCCTCAACCCAGTTAGTTTACGTCCATGCATGCTCCTCAATATGACCTATCTGTCAACACAAACATCAGCCTGTCCTCTGATTGACTCAGACAACTATACAGCCCAGGGCATGTGTTCTGTTTGGCTGTAGAAATGACCACAGTGCTTGGATTATAGTCCAATAAGACAAATGCCCTATCAGTTCTTAACTTCACAGATGTTGCTTGCTACTCTGATATTTATTGTAAAATGAGAACACATGGGGAGTAATTTCTTGTGGAGATTTGGGTCACAGTTATGCAACATTAGGTCACTTTGTTTTCTATTTTTCACTCCCTATGAACTCTGTTTTTTTCACACAAAAAACAGTGTATTTTGGCACCCAAGTTCATTTTCATCATATTAAATCAATTTTATTATATTGTATAGTTGTATAGGTGTTCTTAAATCAGTATTTGTTTCTAATTCCAGTAGCGGTGAATACCGGTACTTATGTATGTGGGACTTTTGATAGCCCTGTCTCTACAAAAACACAGGATATTGGGGGAGTAAAAAAAAAAAAAGTTTCTCTCCTTCCTGTATTGTCCTCAGTCAGGCCATAGCCCAAACTAAAGTACCAACAGTCTGCTGACTCAGCGTCAACTCCTAGAATAAAAGATGAGGAATGGAATATGCTCCTGGCATATTTCTACTAGACCAGAGAATAGATAAAATAATGTTGCAATTCGTTCCTAAGTGCTCTCACTTGGATTGGATCTCATTTGAGAGCTGAGGCCCCAGAAATCTATGACTGTCCAGGATATTTTAATTTCATTACAGTGAGCCTCTCTGCCACCATATTTCCCCCACATCAAATAATCAGTAATGACTGGGATGACTGTCTCCTGTGACATGACTCACTGAGATGGGAGATCAATTCTAAAGTTAAATTGGACCTTCTTTATATAAGACGTCCTCCATTCTCCTCCCGACACCAACACTGTCAGATAGGGTAAACAACGTGTGCATCATGCATGCATCAGCTGGGTGGAGTGAATATTCATCAGGAGAGGAGGGTGGGACAAAGGGAGGCAAAGATTTGCCCCACTAATGTCACAAAGAGCCTACTAATGAATTGAGCTGAGTAAAAGCCCTTGGCAGCATTGTCCCCTGGAGGACGACTCCCACCCTCCCTCCCTGACTTTACGGCAGTCATTAGCAGCTGACGTCCGTTGAAAAGGGGCCATCAGGCTGCGCTGTGCTTGCTGCTGTGAAAGGAAGCCAACTGCCCCCCATTTTCATGCTCTTTAACGCTCGTTCAGAGGGAGAAAGATGACCGTGGCATGTTTTATTACGCAAGTGGGTAAACCTCAGCAGGTAAAGTCACTCCCCTGGCCAGAGGCACAATAGTGCAGGGTCTTTAATGCATGCTGAGCCAAAGGAAACCGGAGTGTGGTCCTCGTTAGGTCAACAAAGGGAAAATACAAACAAACACTAATGTAGGAAGTGTTGCTATGGGGTTTTCAAAAGTGCAAAGACACAGATGTGTTGTAATGAGTACATGAGTAATGAGGTGAACAAGGTTATGGAGTGTGGATAAAATGAATGTACCATCCTTAATTCTACATCCTATCAACCTGGACTTGCATTAGGTCACACATTTTTACCTCAAAATCTGACGCCAATAATACATTCTGAGAGGACTGAACTCAAAGAAAACAGCCAGTGGAAACTATTTGTCTTCCACCCTAATATCCCAAGAAGAGAAATTGATCTAGGCCCAGATTCAATTGAAGGCGCGTTATAGCGCAGCGCACTATAACATACTTTTTTAAAGGTAATTTACGCTTGAGCCGACATGCGCAGAGTTGACCATAAATGCGATCTCCACAAACGTTGGGGAAAATGCCTTTAAAAGGTGCATTGACTGCTATAGTGTCATGGACTACAATGTGCCAGGCCCCAAGTAAATTAATGCTTTGTTAGCTTTGAAGAAAACAGTGAAAAACAGTTATAACTTATTGATTCTTTAATTCCATACAGATCACATTAACATATCAGTAAAGCAATTTATTACACACAAACATTTTATATTTTTTACAAAAATATTTACCAGGGAGAAACTAAATCCAAACACTAAATAAATAGACAATTCAGCAATAAACACACACATCTCATTGGGAGGAACGCATACATTTTTCAGGCCTTAGGCCTAAAGCCAGCTGTGATATCAGACCAGTCCACACCACTACTCTGGCGGTCATTCTGAAGCATATTGTCTCTGTTCCACTCCGGTATCCTCTCTGCTGGTTGGCGTTTCTCCTGACCCAGGTGCTTCACTTTCAGCCCCAGCATACAGTAGCATGGCCGTGAGCTCTGGATCAGCAGTCAGCAGGGTGTGATGCTGGACTTGGGACAGAGGAAACACAGGTATGACGGCATAGTAGCATTTATGAGGTCTCGCTGAGTCACTTGTGAGACTGCAGTCCTTCTCTTTTGGGAGAAACTGTGAGGAAATTGTTTCACCAGCACGAGTAGGAGAAGAGTGGGTACTGGCTCCACTCAGCCACATTGCCATGGTGATATCCATGGTGAACAGCCGGGGTACTGTAGTCAGCAGGCAGGTGGTGAGGGGGAGGGTACTGGACAGGGCTGGGGCCGCTCCACTGGCCCAGGGTCTGCTCGGCGCTGTAAGGGGTGTAGATGTGGTGGCTGAGGACCCCTGGCTTGCCTGCCTGGGCCATGTTGAGCACCGCTGTGTAGTCCTGGGGATGTCCTGCCGGGGGTTGGGGTCCACAGGGAGATGGTCCAATCTCATGGGTAGAGGGCTTGGAGGCTTCATGCTCTGGGACTGTGGCTACATCAGGGACTCTGGACTCAAAGCTGGCCCGTCCAGAACCCCCATTGCTGCTGCCTATGCTGGAGGAGGGAGATGGAGACTTCCCGTATTCATGGAACCTGAGGAGAGAAGGCAGGGTGGTGGTCAGTGTTATCTGCTTTGATGACAATGTGGCAGTGAGATATACAGCATAATGAACATGACAGACAGTATGCTGTGGTGCCTACCTGTAAGGCTGGTATGAAGCTGGGGCTGGTACTAGCTGCTCTGCATTGTACATTTCCCTGGTGTCAGGTCCAGGGGGTGAGTCTGTCCGGACGTGGTGGCCATGCTCCCTCTCAGGCCCCCAGGGGGAGTAGCGCTCCTCTTTCACCACTTCCTCCTCTTTGGTTTTAGGGAGTTCTGCCTGCTCTCCTTCGTATCCCTCATATGATGACCTGCGGAAGTCTGAAAAACAGACATGACATCAGACCCACTAAGCTCAGAGAATAACAATCTCTACACGAAGGGATGAGTACTTTGGTCACCAAGTGGTGAAAGCCAATACCAGGAGGGCTGTCCTCATCTGACTCTCTGCTTAGACAATCAATTTTCTTTGCTTTCTTCTCTGGGCAGGCTGGGTTTCTGTTAGCACGCCTGCAGTGGGAAAGATAATAGAACCGATCATTAGTACACTTATATTCAAGACAAGCATAAAATATAAAATAAATAGAGTGAAATAGAAAAGTAGTTATAATAACAATTCTATATACCTTTTTGTATTAGTTCCTTCGTCTCGAAAGCCTTTTGCAAATGGGTTGTGGTCAATCTTCAGCTTGGTTATCTAGGGGAGAAAATATTTGGTTTAAACACCTAGGGACTTGTTACCAGATGCTTGCTTGGGTAAATAAAAGGGTAGTGCCCTGCTGTGCCAGTGACTGCAGTGAGACTGACCTTAGTGTTCTGGTAAGCAGTGACGGAGGTGAAGGAGGTCTCAGGGAAGGTAAAGGTCTGGAAGACACTCCAGCGTACACTGTACATGTCGTCTGCCTGGACAATGTGGAAGCGCGGGTGGTAGCGATGCATGGAGTGCAAAATGATCTGAAAGGGATAGAGATGCACACTTAGCTTAGTCACTGGAACAACAGTTAATGTCATCAAAGTAAAATCATTTTCCAACGCTCTATAGAAGAAGTCTATATCTATTATTACAGAGCTTGACAATGCCTTCTTACATGGCCATGCTGGTCCAGAGTGTTGTTGGTAAGCTTGAGCTTGAGGAAGGAGACGGTCTGTTTCATCCAGTGGCTCCCAGGGGCTGGAGAGTCTGGATGCAGGTACGTCCGACAAGGGGGCTGTGGCTCCGCCTTCCCAGCCACTTCCCATTTCTCTTTATTCCACTGGAAGGAGACCGAGAAATTGAGTAAATACATGAATAAAGTTTATCTGTCATACAAGGGGGGTGAGGTGATTTTCAGAGGCTCCCTGCCTAACTTTAGGAGGCTAAAAGAGAGATAGTTTGGCTTGCACCACCCACAGAGAGTGGGAGTAATACAGTGGGCAAACAGCAGGGGATAGAACAACAGGAAGAGATAATGCCCTTTGATGTCCAATGTCAGAGGGGTGATGAGCAGAGGGTGGAGTGGAGCTGGGTCTCGTCTGGAGATGCTGGCCATTGGAGAAAAGCTATCGCTAATGTTTGCTTATGTCAAGATTGTTTTATACAAGCCAGGGATGTGTCATAGCTAAATGTAAAATTTCATTATTTTGCTCATGAAAGACAATGGATATGTATTAAAGTGCAAACATGCAAAAGCTTCTTACCTTATACCTGAAACCATCCACAGGAACCATGTCAACCAACAAGATGTACTTGGAACAAGGCATCAGCCCAGAAAGGTTGATTTTACAGTGTGGAAACATTCTCCTGTAAAATACAAGGATAATCATTATCATGACAGTCCACAAAAAATTATATTTCTTGAAGCATTTTCGATCAAGTACATTGTAATTGATCATGGCAGATAGAATTGGAAGTTGTGGTTATCTTACCTGCCCGGTTTAGTGATAATCATCTCTGTTCCAATTTCATGGAAAGACTTCCAGAGTTCTGGGTCCTCCAGAGTCATCCTGATGTTGCCTTGGTGATAGGCATCGGGACCACCGGGAATAGAGGACGAGGGTGGAGCAATAAAGTTGGACTTCATGTCTAGGATGTAGATGTGGAAACCATCATTAAGACACAGTCATAAACCAAAACTGATGGATGACTAGCCGACCAAGATGAGAACTAAATAGGCCGGGGTAAAGAGGAAAATTTCACATACACAGAGTGGACTAAGGATACAACCCAAACTATTGATATAGACATTGAGAGCTTATGATTTGAATGTGTGATGTCCATTGGGAATCCAAGGGAGGTTTGATGACAAAAAGGAGCTTGAGGACCAACACTCACCTCTGATGGACTGCATTCTTTAGACGAGTTGATGCAACAAGAAGAGGTGCACCAAAAATATAATGTATCAGTGCTATCCAAAGTAGTTCACAGTCCCTCCTTGGTGCTGCACATCTGTCTTGAGCTTTCAGTATATTCCACTGGTGCCGGAAGCATACATTGAGGGGTGGTAGATGCAATAGTGTTCTAACAGCAATCACTTCGGGCACTCTAGAACTGTTCAACTGGAGGACAAGGTGTCCCTGACTTTTAAGGGGATCCCAGGGGTGGGAGTGGCCAGAAGAGAGAGCCATTCCCAGGCTTTGAAGTGGCACAATGATGAGTCAATGTCCCACTGTGATTGGAGGGTTGTGGAAATCAAAGGGACTTAACAGGGCCTTGATACCGTCCCCACAGGAAGGGGGACGGAGGAAATGCATCTTTATTAACTGCTAAGAGACTTTTAAACAAATATGGAGAGGCTTCCCCACTGGAGAACGGGGCCTGCAGCGGCACCAAAATCTGTGTAAATATCATTCACACAGACGTAATCACACACAGAAAGTCCATTTAGTGTCCTCATGCAATGTGGTAAAAAAGCCATTATAATTAATTTGACATAGCTAATACAAGTTCAGGGAATTGATCCATTTCAAATGAGATCAACCCTCACAAAATAGAACATTTGAGTCACAATTAGGGTTGTAAAGCTACTGATAATTTACCATTTATTTTGGTAATTAACAGAAAATCTATGGCAATCTATCGTAACTTTGGTAGTTTATACTTGAATAACTTTTTTAGAAAATGTATTCATATATAGTATTCATTTATTATATCTGTGTCCATATTGTCCATCAGTCTCTTGTAGATAGACCATATGGTTCAAGAGAAAATAGCCTAATAATTAAAAAAGCAATATTTTATGTGCAATGAACTCTGCAACTCTTCCAACTATAAATGTTTTCACAACCGCCACCAGTTTGACGGCAAATCATTGACAACAAACACATATTGACATAGTAAACAATAATATAAAATTATATTTCATGCTGAAACCCTCATATTAAACACCAATGGTATTTACTAAGTTGGGATAATGTTTTACATTACGCACAGAGGGCCAGAGATAATTAGACACCTGTGACACCTCTGGATAAGAGCGTCTGCTAAATGATGTAAATGTAAAATGTAAATGTGATAATCAGAAGTACCCAAAAAGGCCACTAGATGTCTTGAAAGATACCAAAATGTGTTAGTTTACTGATAAACTTTGAAAGTTTCCAGTAATATACACTACCGTTCAAAAGTTTGGGGTCACTTAGAAATGTCCTTGTTTTCGAAAGAAAAGCAAAAAAAAATTCCATTAAAATATCATCAAATTGATCAGAAACACAGTGTAGACATTGTTAATGTTGTAAATTTCTATTGTAGCTGGAAACGGCTGATTTGTAATGGAATATCTACATAGGCGTACAGAGGCCCATTATCAGCAACCATCAGTCCTGTGTTCCAATGGCACGTTGTGTTTGCTAATCCAAGATTATCATTTTTAAAGGCTAACTGATCATTAGAAAACCCTTTTGCAATTATGTTAGCACAGCTGAAAACTGTTGTGCTGATTAAAGAAGCAATACAACTGGCCTTCTTGAGACTAGTTGAGTATCTGGAGCATCAGCAAATATGGGTTCGATTACAGGCTGAAAATGGCCAGAAACAAATAACTTTCTTCTGAAACTCGCCAGTCTATTCTTGTTCTGAGACATTAAGGCTATTCCATGCGAGAAATTGCCAAGAAACTGAAGATCTCGTACAACGCTGTGTACTACTCCCTTCACAGAACAGCGCAAACTGGCTCTAACCAGAATAGAAAGAGCAGTGGGAGGCCCTGGTGCACAACTGAGCAAGAGGACAAATACATTAGAGTGTCTAGTTTGAGAAACAGACGCCTCACAGGTCCTCAACTGGCAGCTTCATTAAATAGTACCTGCAAAACACCAGTCTCAACGTCAACAGTGAAGAGGCGACTCCGGGATGCTGACCTTCTAGGCAGAGTTGCAAAGAAAAAGCCATATCTCAGACTGGCCAATAAAAATAAAAGATTAAGATGGGCAAAGGAACACAGACACTGGACAGAGGAAGATTGGAAAAATGGACAGACGAATCGAAGTTTGAGGTGTTCCAATCACAAAGAAGAACATTTGTGAGACGCAGACCAAATGAAAAGATGCTGGAGGAGTGCTTGATGCCATCTGTCAAGCATGGTGGTGGCCTGGGGGTGCTTTGGTGGTGGTAAAGTGGGAGATTTGTACAGGGTAAAAGGGATCTTAAAGAAGGAAGGCTATCACTCCATTTTACAACGCCATGCCATTCCCTTGTGGACGGCGCTTGATTGGAGCCAATTTCTTCCTACAACAGGACAATGACCCAAAGCACAGCTCCAAACTATGCAATAACTATTTAGGAAAGAAGCAGTCAGCTGGTATTCTGTCTATAATGGAGTGGCCAGCACAGTCACCGGATTTCAACCCTATTGAGCTGTTGTGGGAGCAGCTTGACCGTATGGTACGTAAGAAGTGCCCATCAAGCCAATCCAACTTGTGGGAGGTGCTTCAGGAAGCATGGGGTGAAATCTCTTCAGATTACCTCAACAAATTGACAACTAGAATGCTAAAGGTCTGCAAGGCTGTAATTGCTGCAAATGGAGGATTCTTTGACGAAAGCAAAGTTTGAAGGACACAATTATTATTTCAATTAACCTTGTCAATTACTACATTTCCTATTCATTTTGCTATGTTTCCTATTCAAACTAATTTCATGTATGTTTTCATGGAAAACAAGGACATTTCTAAGTGACCCCAAACTTTTGAACGGTAGTGTATATGTATACCCTCCCTTTGCAACCCTTGTCACAATCCTTAATTCATGTTTTTGCCAAATGCCAGCCCAGACACTTTGTTTGCTATAATGCTGAGGGATGGGGCTGGAGAAATGTAACCATTCTCAAATTCATAGATGGAGCTATGAATGCAAGGAGTGACAGTTCATGAGATCAACATTATAGTTTTGAACATATCTGAAGCTATATATTGCTTGTTTACAAAATACATTGTTCACAAACAATGGAGTAACCTTATATTTTGGATTTTGATTGGGTAAGACAGCTCATGAGGCAAATTATATTCTTCCAAAATGAATGGGTATATATAATTGATTGAAATTACCATTGAACAGCAGTAACTATTGCTGATTGTACCTTTAATTACTTTTTTTATGATGATCAAAATAAGGTATGTTGAATGAACATCACTTTGAACTTGTGTGCTTCCCTGACAATACAATTTAAGAAATGCTATCCCATCTTGATTCATTCTTCCAACACAGTTATAACATAACTGTAAAATACACACAACGTGTCATACGTTTATCATATGCACTATTGGTTGAATCAATGACTAAATCTTGCCCAAACAGGGTCTCTGCCATGTTTCATTCTCCATCGGAGAAAGTGAGGAGTGTGTCAGGGACCAATAAACCTATAATGGTCTGATAACTTACAATAATACCGGTGTCTTTCTCCAGGTGAGTCTTACCTGGGGGTGAGCCATGTTGGGTGTTGGGACTGGAGGCAGTGCCCCGGGGTTGTGTATTGATCTGTCTAGACAGGACAATGCTCCGATAGATAATCTCATCACGGCAGTTTCCCCTAGGCCCCAGTTTCTCCATGCGGAGAGGCACTGTAAGGGCCAGAAATTAACAGTCAGTTAGCACCCCAGAGCCAAGACACCACAGCTTGAAAGAGACAGAGGCAGAGACAGAATGAAGGCCAGGCACAACCTCCCCTCCATTCCAAAGGAGCCCTCCCTCCCACAATTGCCATCGTCCAGGCAAATCCACAAATGTCCATTGGCTATGTCTCCTCCTGTATTCACCTCTGTTACCACAGGCTAAACAAATGCTAAACGGAGAACCATTCGCAGCACTTCAGCAGAGTTCCTCCTCTGTCATCTCTGCTTCCTCTGGCACTTAAAGTACCTCAAATACCCTCAATAGATCTACAAGCTTTCTTCAGCTACAGTGACTAAAAATAATGTCTCACTCAGCTTTGTCCTACAAAATCAAGCAGTTTTCAAACAATCCCTATACAATTAGTCAGTCTCTCTCATTGTATGCTTATATGTGCATATTGCATACAGTGCCTCCAGTGGTAGTATTGTATGCTCCAAGTTTCCATAGTATTATTGTGAGCCCTATTTTCTTTGTAATTTGCGTCTGTGAATCTGTATATAAGCCTATCACAGGAGGTTGGTGGCACCTTAATTGGGGAGGATGGGCTCGTGGTAATGGCTGGAGCGTAATTGGTGGAATGGTATCAGATACATCAAACACATGGTTTCCATGTGTTTGATGCCATTCCATTGACTCCATTCCAGCCATTATTATGAGTTGTCCTCCCTGCAGCCTCTACTGAAGCCTAAGTTATCATGTGGGAGACCATACAGTAAGTATGGAACCCCATTTGTGAGGAATACTAGAATGATACTAAATGGATCTTGATACCTTAAAAGGGTCATAAAGTTAGTCCTTTGGAAATGGCTGTATTAAACCAGGCAACTAGAGAAACATCCCTCTAAGGAACAGCAGTTAAACACGCCTCAGGAGAGGTTTACAACTAGAAAGCCTGGGCTGTGAGAATATTGACTAGCTAGTTGAAAGAGCCCATGTTGAGTCAATGTATATTTGTCCCATTACTCCAAACAGACCCACTCAGAGAGACCTGCATTGGATTTTCACACCACAGGTCCTCACGTTGACTCTAAAGGGCTATTTTGGAGGGAGAAAAGACAGATGCAGTATGCATAACTGGTTCCACCAATCACCCTGCATAGAGGGCCAGCCTGCTAGTAGCACTCTGAGCTTTAGGAAGTGTGATGTGGTTTCATTCTCCTTATATGTGAAAGCAATTGTTGCTGAGGAGTTATTAATCACAGGTTCAGTGTTGCTCTCCTCACCTTGCACTTCTGAGGGCAAATGCATATTCCCAGGGCCTCTTGTGCTGTCTCCCTCTCGAGAGCTCAGAGCCATGTCATGGGATATCAAAACAAGGAAGGCACAGCTCTTTGTGTGATTACAAGAGTGTGGCTATTTCAGGAATTGGAGAAGGGACCAATTTTGATGTGGAATATTTTAAGTAATCACAGTTTAAAGGCTTACAGGGAAGTCTAATGTGAGCGTGTCACTTTCAGAGCTAAGGTGTACATTTCAGCAGTGGCGGTGTCAATCCCATTACGCAGTGGAGGTGATAGCCAGGCTGCTGTACGTGGCAGAGGATACAGGCCAGAGTCAGGGTGGCAGGTGAGGGTCTACTGTTATATTTTACAGCTGCTCTTTGGGCAACACATCAGGGGAATTGTGGCCTTGAAGACAATGACTGAGTTAAGAACTAGTGTAGCTAACTATAATCACACAGTGAAGTGGCCCAAAGAGCCGTTATTCAATGTTTATGAATGATTTCAATGAGTCAACACTGAATCACTGGGTTGTAGATCTATGACAAAATATGTCAAACAACATAAATATTCCCTTTATTCTCAACATAATGTATGAAAAGAGGAATAAAAACCATCCCTAACATGATCTCTACACTGGATGTAATAAAGTTGTAGAAAGTGATACCATTGCCATAGCAGACATGGCAGAGATTCAGAGAAGGCAAACATGAATAATTTACAGTATATAAAAATTAACTCAGTCGCCAAGTTTGTGTCAATAGAGCTAATGTGTCTTGACTGTTCTCCCACTCCGATGAGCCTACTAGGGCCCAACCTCCCTGCAAAGTGTTGGTCCTCAGTGCAGTCTATGGCGGGGCCGCTGGCCGGGCCACTGTCTGCTCACTGATAACCTTTACCACTGATGCTCTACCTCCCAGGTGTCAGTCTCTGGCCATTTGCTTTAACTGCGCAGATCCCCTTGTGCTCAATAGTTAACAGCTGCCAATACACAGCCGGGCCCAAGGATCAGACGGCTCTGCTCCAGCCCAATAAAGAGCCCCTGCAGTGGGCCGACGAGAAATCTCACACCTTTGGCCCACATTAGCTATGCAGCATACCCTTTTGATGCCTTAATTGGTTACTTTGAGGGGTTTGTATAGGTAGCAGTCGCTGGCTAAAGACAACCTGATGTCAGTGGAGCTCCAATCCCTTCTGATTCAGCCTACCGGTACATCACCTCAAATACTGGAAAGACACACTTGTTAAACCTGACATCAGGGCTATTACATAGTAATTTTGTGATTGTTGGCTGACGATTTCATCTCAAGTGCAGTTCAATGTTTTAGCTATAAACAATAACGACTATGATGTTCTTAATCAGTGAATCTTAAAGATGACTGCACAATAACACAGGATACATTCTCAAAGGAATAGATTGATCTAGCATAGTGACAACACTCCCTTTTTCTCTGCAAAACACTGAGCACGGAATAAAACTGTCAGTGAAGCACTTCGGGATTAGTTTAAAATGTAATGTTTTGGTGAATTACATTTGCTTTCTTTGGATGAATACAGTAGATAATATACTGTCAGGCCCATAATTATTGTCACCCTTAGTAAAAGATTAGCAAAAAAAATAAGTAATACTAATACTGAGCTATATTGTATGCGCCAAAGAATTGGGAAATTATATTATTTTATACTAATACAATTGCTCAAAGAGATTTAGCTTCCGTTTTTCAACACCAAACCCACCACTACTGCGCGTGGTCAAAGAGCTGTATTTTCATGTTATCTGAGCATAGCACTGGTTCCAATCCAAGTGCCAATGCTGTTAAACTCCAGGCGGTGCTATAGTCAGATTACATGAAAAACAAGCTTTTTGGCCACGTACACCAGTGGTGGGTTTGGCGTCGAAAAACGGAAGCATATGCAGAAAAGTGCCTCATACCTACAGTAAAATATATTTGATGTTATGGGGGTATTTTGCTTCCACTGGTCCTGTGGCCCTTGTTAAAGGCAAGGGCATCATGAACTTTACCAAGTACCAGGACATTTTAGCCCAAAACTTGGTTGCCTCTGCCAGCAGGCTGACACTTGGCCACAAGTGGATCTTCCAGCGAAACAATAACCCCAAACACATCAAAATCTACAAAGAAATTGATAATTGACCATAAAAATGTACATTTTGCAATTGCCATCTCAGTCTCCGGACTTGCACCCCATTGAAAACCTTGAAAACATTTGAGAAAAAGGCTGTGTCATTATCCTCATAGGGTACTGGAGTACTGAAAACAGAAGTGCCAATAATTTTGACCCTGATCTTTTTCACTAATAAAAAAAAAACTTTTAAACAATATTTCCTTCTCTGAGCAATTGCATTAGTATAAAATAATATAATTTCAACAACAACAAAAAATAGCATGTACTATAGCTCAGTATTTGTATTATTTATTTTTGTATTTTTTGCTCATCTTTATCATGGGTGCCAATTATGGACTGGACTGTAGGTAGGTAGTTAACTTCTTCCTGCTGACAGACAGATAAGGCAGAAAAGACTGAACAAATCACTTACCAACCCCCTCTGCCCTATCAAGGCTTGGAGAAGACAGATCTCACTACTTCAACCTAGGGGATGGGGGATCACACATTTGGTCCACCTCATAAGAAAACAAACCTCAAATTTAGTTTTCCTGACAAAGGGGCAAATGACAAATTCACAGCACTTCAGAAGAAACTTCTGGAAGTCGCTAATGAAGGCTAATGACTTCCCTCGTGACAGAGACTTCACACTAAAGTGTACGAGCCCTTTGACTACAATGTCAGAGACAGGGTGGTCTCAGCTAGAGGAGTTTGTGGAGAGAAAACATAATTGATACACAGGGGACATGTTGGTGGAAAGAGTGACACTGCCACAGGTTGTTTTGTTTAGGTCTAACTTGACTGGAATTGTAGTCTGTAGAACTTAATGACATTGAGGTTGTCTTGCCAACTGGTCTAAACTACTGTATACATACAGCTATTGAAACCAATACATAACCATTACAGCTGCCAGAGGTTGAAGTTCAAACTCAATCTAAATATGAAAATAAACAGAAAACGTAAGTAATGGAAATATGTGTTGAAGAGCAAAGACCAGGTAAGAGTGTATAAAGTATATTTTTGTTGTGACATCTTTAATGTGGCAAGTCAATATGTAGAGAACAACAACTCCCCAGCCTGAGCTAAGGTTGAAAAGCAGAGGAAAACCCTTGAACCCAAAGTCACCTTTCAGCCATTATACATTCCCATAAGAAGCTCAGCAGTAGAAATACAAAACAGTATTTTACACCAAAAAAATACAAACATCCATTTACAGGTAGTCAAGCAAGACTTGTTTGGGGCGATGTCCTTTACAATTATTAATTCATAATTTCTTCCTTCCTAAGCATTGTTATAGACAATTCACGAGAAACATACGGTAAATATCCTTTGTTTTATAGAAAACAATCTGTAAAAAACATGATATTGTCTTCTTCTGTACAACTGACTAGGTATCCCCCTTTCCGAGTTGACTTAGAATTAACATATTTACCGAAACTGATCCAGCGGGAAGGCATTTTGTCTGAATTAGGAACATCCACACCTTCCATTACAATGCCAGTAAATTCAGAAAATAAACTGAAACACAACTGATTAAGTTATGTTACATATTAATTAGTTACATTTTAATTTGTTTCCTAAATTGACTAGAATGGAGGTGTACTTGACCCCAATGCTAAATAAACACCCGAACCCTGTAAGAGTTGCCTCATTGGAATATATGTTTTAAGTATGATGTACAAAAGCTAATTCTGGCTAATCCAAAACATCTCTCTGTCTATTATCCTGAGCAATGCTGGTGACAGGACCTCTTCCTGGTAAAGACTCCTCCAAGCTACAAATCCACACAGGAACAAGGACAAAATCAAACGAGACTTGAAACAATGAAGTACAAAAATAGAACAAACAAAAGACAAATCAAAGACATCACACGTGGAAGTGTAAACATATCCAATCTGCTACAGGTTATTAAGCTTTGGAGAAGTAGGTTCCTCAACATTGCGTTAGGAGGCCCATATAAAAGCCTGGTTTGCAGCTGATGGTCCTCAGTAAATCGTAGTGTCCATGAAAATACAGGTCACATACAAATGTGGGTTTCTTGCAGTTTAGGTTCTTATATCAATGTGTATGGACAAAACTTGGCTGGCAACATGTTGCCATGGCACATATCATCATGTTGAAGTACCTCAGTGTGGGATGTTGCATCCCACCAACAAAGATTTAGCTGCAGTTGAAATATAGTAAAAGCGGGCCAAATTTTTGTCCCCATTACTTGTGCAAGATGCATAAATCACAGCCAAGGATGCCAATTGCATTGCAGGCTAGTCAGGTCTAGCTCAAAGGAGTGGCCTGGGTTTGTTCACTCTTGTAGCTGTGAGAAGGGGACAAGGGGGTGGGGGGGGGGGGGGGGGGTACAGCTGGTCAGTAGCTCAGATGTCCATGTAATCATCCTCCTCATCCCCATCGTCTGATTCACTCTCCAGAGAGGACTCCTGGCTGGAGGTCTCCTGCACCTCCAGGGCTGGCTGGCTCAGCGTCTCCTTCTTCACTGTGGCCGCCGACTGGGAGGACAGGATCACGTTCTGCACAGGGGACAGGAACAGGGGACAGAGAACAGGGGACAGGAACAGGGGACAGGAACAGGGGACAGGAACAGGGGACAGGAACAGGGGACAGAGAACAGGGGACAGGAACAGGGGACAGGAACAGGGGACAGGAACAGGGGACAGGAACAGGGGACAGGAACAGGGGACAGGAACAGGGGACAGGAACAGGGGACAGAGAACAGGGGACAGGAACAGGGGACAGGAACAGGGGACAGAGAACAGGGGACAGGAACAGGGGACAGGAACAGGGGACAGGAACAGGGGACAGAGAACAGGGGACAGGAACAGGGGACAGAGAACAGGGACAGAGAACAGGGGACAGACGAACAGGGGAAGACAGGGGAGAGAACAGGGGACAGGAACAGGGGACAGGACAGGGGACAGGAACAGGGACAGGAACAGGGGACAGGAACAGGGGACAGGAACAGGGGACAGGAACAGGGGACAGGAACAGGGGACAGGAACAGGGGACAGGAACAGGGGACAGGAACAGGGGACAGGAACAGGGGACAGGAAGAAAAGGGGACAGGAACAGGGAAGAACAGGGAAGGACAGGGAAACAGGACAGGTGAGGACAGGAAACAGGGGACAGAACAGGAGAAGAGAACTAGATGGAATTAAGAGAGATAGATACATAGTGGAATGATAGGAGATAGAACACAGTGGAATTGATAGAGAGATAGAACTAGATGGAATGATAGGAAGGATACATAGATGGAATTGATAGAGAGATAAGATACATAGATGGAATTGATAGATGATACATAGATGGACATTGAAGATGGATAGATACATAGATGGAATGATCGAGATAGATACCATAGTGGAATTGATAGTGAGATAGATACATAGATGGAATTGATAGAAGAGATAGATACATAGAGGAATTGTATAGAGAGATGAGATACATAGATGGGAATTGATAGAGAGATAGATACTTAGATGGACTTGGATAGAGGATAGATACATAGATGGGAATTGATCGAGAGTATAGATACATGAGCTGGACTTGATAGAGAGATAGATACATAGATGGAATTGATAGAGAGATAGATACATAGATGGAATTTTCGATAGGAGATAGATCCATAAGATGGAATTGATAGAGCGATCGAGAACATAGATGGAATTGATAGAGAGATAGATACATAGATGAATTGATAGAGAGATAGCTACATAGATGGAATTGATAGAGTAGCAGAGATAGATACCATAGATTGGAATTGATAGAGAGATAGATACATAGATGAATGGATAGAGAGATAGATACATAGATGGAATTGATAGAGAGATAGATACATAGATGGAATTGATAGAGAGATAGATACATAGATGGAATTGATAGAGAGATAGATACATAGATGGAATTGATAGAGAGATAGATACATAGATGGAATTGATAGAGAGATAGAAGGAGAGAGATAGAAGGAGAAAGAGAGAAGGAGAAAGAGAGAAGGAGAGAGAGATAGAGAGGAAGCGGGAAAGCACCTTGAGTCTCTGCTTGGTTTCCTCTGAGATACTTCCTTTGGGGGAGAGCAGGGTGGGTGTAGGCGGGGTGACTGTGATTTCGGGGGGGAACTTGGTGGAGGGGATGAAGAGTTTTGGCATGTTGGGGGGGATGCGGGAGCGGACACGACTGGGGTCCGACATCTTGGACTGCTCACTGCTGCCATACAGCTGCTGGTCTGAACAACAGAGGACATAGAGAAACATTATGACAACGTCTCACAAATATCCTCTACTCCACCTTAATATAATTCTTACTTTCCCTCTTGGTATGTCCTGGTTGTAAATGTTCTTACCGGTGCAGGGATGTGTGGTACTACAGGAAGCAGGCTCGTCATGGTGCCAGCCTGCAGCCTCCTGCCCTGGGGACACAGTGGCCAGCTTCATCTGTTGGCACAGATGAGACTCCTGCTGTCTGTAGGACAGTCCCTCTGGGGGCTCCTCAAGTTCATCTGGAGAAACAACCACATCACATGACCTGGCTGGGTCACAATCCATACAGCATCCAAACACACACACCAGCATAGTGAAGACAGACAAGATGGCAAGCTCTCACTCATACAACTGGGGTTAGCAGAATAATCAATTTCAGACTGATTCAGTATGCAGTGCACTATACTATAGCAACAATGTTTGCAATGGCCAACATTAACATGAGCTTACTAGAACATAAATATTATTTCTATACACAGACAGACAAAGCCACTGGTTTCAAATATTGTTCCAGGCTGCCATAACAGACCCCACAATGAAAGCTGGAGGCAGATGGGATATATGAGGGAGGGTAATGCCTGCCTGCCTGTGAGAATCACATCCCCATGTAGCAGCATACAATAGCACTGGCAGCACTGACAGCAAATACAATAATCCCACTCCCTCTCTACCCGACCTCTTCATTCAGGTTGCCTGGGAAACCATTGGTAGATTTCAGTGCCAAGCTGCCTGATGCTGAGCACTGATCTCCTTAACCTCACACATGTGTCTGTGTGTGTGTGTGCTCGTGTGGATGATATCCTCCTTGAATCCTTAAATATTTAATGTACTCAATAATCAGGATGGTCAACTAAAGAGGCTTGACACAATTGTGTCATACAGAAACAATGTATCATCCGGAAAACAGTGTTCCAAGTTAAAGACAGATCATTATTTCAAACACTTCCATCTGTAAGTGTCAGATGTACTATGTACTAGGGAGACTTAAGTGATTTACTAAAACAGAAACCATTCAACCAGTTCATAGTGTACAGTAGTTACATAACACAGCTCTGAGTGGGCAAGTGTGCCCCCTGCTGGCTGGTTATCATTACAGAGAGAGAGAGCAGCTTTGACAAGTCTAATTTATCCTTCTCCCCCTAGAGCAGCAGGTACCACGCAGGGAATCATCAACTGCAGATACAGCACAGTGAACACAACCAGTTTGCAGCGAAATTACTGTGGGTGCTACAAATCAATTCACATTACACTATATTCTCCAAAGAGGATCTACGCAATTTTAATTAAATGTTTGATGACCTTGTCCTCTTTGTAGCAGCATACTTTAAACAGACCCACTTGGCTGTTTTCAAACTGACCAGGCAGTTTTACTGTTGTGTTTTTAAAAATGTACTGAGAGATGAAACTGACCTGTTTGGGGATGGAAGGCCATAGTTGAAGCAGGGTGGATAGGCAGGGGGGCTCTCCTGTGCTGGGGCTGCTCGTGGGAGCCGCTGGCTGGAGGTCTGGGCACCTTGTCCAGGGGCTCGTACTGGAGTTTGTCTTGGCTGTCCTGGATCTGGATGGACAGAGGGTGGCAGGCAGTGTGGCTGAGCAAGACCGGGGTTGGCAGAGAGGCAGGGAAGAAGATGTCGCGGTTATCCTTACTGTACTTGGGTGTTGTTGGGGCATCACCAGCAGACTGAAAAAGATAATGACAGTGTGGTAGTAAGGCGAGGAGCGCCTGACCTTGAGCGCCCATCTGCAGTAGAATCTTCTTTCCCCTGTACAGATACTGTAGATGGAGCACTGACAGAACACTGAGAACTGCACATCCGCTTCCCTGGAGGGAAAATGTGCTGGACATAGAACCACCGTAGAAACAGGTTGAGTCATCATAGCCAATGCCATCTCACTGTTTACACAGAAAAATAACCGTCATTACTATTACGCTGGCTTTATGCTAGAGCAGTGTCCTGTGGAGGTCTCAGGGGGTCTGAGGCTTACTTCTCTGTGTTGCCAGAAGATACCGACTCTACCGTTACGCTTACTTATACTGAACTGCACTGTGGTCTGAACACAATCATGGTTACATTAAGACAACGTGGAGCCGGTGCGAGATATGGGTCAGAAAACGTACTTCAATGCAGGGATAGGATATACCACTTTACTCCAAATGTTACCTTCTTGATGCATCAGTGTGGATAAAGGTACAATTTGGAGTACAGTGGCATATCCCATCCCTGCACTGAAGTACGTTTTCCGACACATATCTCACGCCGGCTCCACTGCGTCTTAAAGTAACCATGATTGCATTCTGACTCCAGTGGAGCTCAGTGTAAACAAACTTAACGGTCGGTATCTTCTGGCAATTCTCTGTGTGGACCCGGTTGTGTGTGGAGTCAGCCTGGGTACCACAGGACCACAACTCCAGGACTACATTCCACCCCTGCCTGCCACTCTCCCATGCATGTTTTGAGGACCACTCATAAACACAAGAGCTGCACAAACAACCTGTGACAACAACCGCCCTGCTCCCACAACTGCTGTCATGGCAACCGGGAAGAACACAGCCAATGGCAAACGGCATGAATACAGTTTCTGTTCAGTTTTCCCTCTGAAATAGGAGAGCATCGGACTGAATACCATCTCTTCTTTTAAAAGTAGCCGAATAGGAGGGAGACATTGGATAACTGGGAAGGAGGAATTAGAGGCAGGGCACTGATAATGACTTACAGGAGTATATAATAGTATCATGACTCATGTCCAGGTTATGGCAACGTGACTACTAAGCACGGCCATAGCTAGCTACATATCAAGTTGAAGGCCGACCGGACTAAATTATCCTTATCACTGCGATTTTAAAAGAATCGGTTCAAGGACATACACTGAGTGTACAAAGCATTAGGAACACCTGCTCTTTCTATGACATACAGTTTCCCGTGTGTATCAAGTATGGTCCACCAACCAAAGGACATCCAGCCAACTTGACCGCTGTGGGAAGCATGGGAGTCAACATGGGCCAGCACCCCGTTGAACGCTTTCGACACTATAGTGTCCATGCCTTGACGAATTGAGGCTGTTCTGATGGCAAAATGGGGGTGCAAACTCAATATTAGGAAGGTGTTCCTAATGTTTTGTACATTCAGTGTACATCTGGTGTATTAGAAGCAAAAAACAATTTTAACAATACTAAACATACACATACGAAACGACAGCATGCAGACGCACACAAACCAACGACATCACACCCAGACCTGCCTGCTCACACTTCCATCTTCAGTGCCCGCATCACTCTCTGCCACATGGCCACAAACTGCACCATTTTGTGTCTTTCCGTCACCCACGCATTTTCAACATTTAGATAATAAAGCATTTGACCTTTCCATTGTGTTAACAATGGAGGATTGGTTGATTTCCAGTTAACTATACGTTTTTTTCAAGATGATTGACGAGAAAAGTATTGTCCAACCCAACGGGTGTCTCACTGCACCCTCATATGCCATGTTTTGAAATATGCAGACAGACGGATTAAAAAGTACATTTACATTGTAATAGTTCTGACAGCCAACTTTCTAGCTCCGACCATAACTTTTTGACTATAGCATTCCCAGAAGGCATGGATTATTGAGTCATTGTTAGTTTTACACTTAAGACATGACTCTGCCGTTGTGCTGTAGAATGTGAATTTTGTCTCTTGTATAATCAATAATATATACATTAGTTTATACTGGATTAAGTGTGAATTTTTGATAACTGTCATTTTGTTAGTTATGTTCCAACATTCCCTCCATCTTGTGCCAATATCAGTTGTTTATTTTTTTTCCTAAGAGATGATCAGTTGGATAGGCTCTCTACAAGGTTTTGTATATCTTACCTATCATATGAATATCCTTTTCTGACTCAAATATGATTCCCTCAAGTTTGCTCTGATGTCCCGTAGCTCAGTTGGTAGAGCATGGCGCTTGCAACGCCAGGGTTGTGGGTTCGTTTCCCACGGGGGGCCAGTATGAAAAATGTATGCACTCACTAACTGTAAGTCGCTCTGGATAAGAGCGTCTGCTAAATTACTAAAATGTAAATGTCGAAAAGATTTAACATCGAAATGTTGTGATATAAACGTTTAAGTTGCATGTATTTGAAAATATCTACATTGGTCAGTCCAAAATTGATTTATAATTCTGTAAATGAAATAAATGTATTTCCTATTTCCAAGTCATTTACGGTTTCTATGCCTTTAGTTTTCCATGTGGACCAATTTAAAATCGGTGAATTCTGAAAAGCAAACCTAAAATTGTTCCATAGGGTTGTGCTTTTAGGGAGTGATATTGGTTCTTGTAGAATAACGTGTCATGTTCTTCCATATTGTTATAGTGTTCTTAACTATAAGTCCCCTGTAGCTCAGTTGGTAGAGCATGGCGCTTGCAACGCCAGGGTTGTGGGTTCGTTTCCCACAGTGGGCCAGTATGAAAATGTATGCACTCACTAACTGTAAGTCGCTCTGGATAAGAGCGTCTGCTAAATGACAAAAAGAAAAAAAACTATGAAGATGTTCTTGTTTTTAGTTTTATCTGTTGAAATAGACACGTGAAAAACTTTCTGGGGATGAGCATGCGCATCTTCAATATGTACCCATTGTTCCTCTTTAGTGTAAGTAAAAGCTTTAGCGAGCTGATACAATTCCAAGTCTGGAAGGTTAAAACCACCCTCAGACTTAGGAAGATGTAAAATGTTCCTTTTTATTTTATGAGTTTTATTTGCCCATATTAAGTCTTATGACTGAGTATACTTTTTAAAGAATGTCTTCGGTGGGGTAATACCGAGAATAAATATAAAAACTTTGCGAGCCATGCCATTCTGAAGAGCTTTATTATACCTGTAAGATTTATGGGAAGATTGTTCCATTTAATTAGATCTGCTTTCATATTGTTGAGTAATAGGATAAAGTTACCTTTATATATTTGTTGTTTGTTGTCACTTATTAAGCATCCTAAGTATTTCATGACTTATTCTTTTTCTTATTGCCATTATTTCGTTTTATTCCACGTACATTTTCTATTCTGAGATTTTTTAGTATTCTGATTTTTTTTTTAGCAAGGGGTGCATAGTTTTCAATATTGGTCAGGTATATCAGGAGATAATCTGCAAATAAGTTTAGTTTATATTAATGTTTACCAATACTGATAACTGTTACGTTTGGGGCCTGTCTAATTATTTCTACAAGCGGTTCAATTGCCAGTGCAAACAGGAGGGGTCAGACAGGACATCCCTGTCTTGTGCTCCTTTCTAAAGCAATTTCATCAGATTTATTATTTGTGTATATTTTTTCTTTAGGACATTTATATAATATTTTTATTTATGTATTATTTCAGATGGAAAGTTGAAAGCTTCCTAAGTTTTTAATAGAATAGGCCATTCAAGATGGTCAAAAGCCTTTTCGGCATCAACAGCCATTATTGATTAATCTATATCTTGTTTCTTAGCGTATTGTATTAAACTGAAACAAATTAAATCAAATTGTATTTGTCATATGCGCCAAATACATCAGGTGTAGACCTTACAGTGAAATGCTTACTTAAGCCTTTAACCAACAATGCAGTTTTAAGAAAAATAAGTGTTAAGTAAAAAATAGAATTACAAATAATTAAAGAGCAGCAGTAAAATAACAGTAGTGAGGCTATATACAGGGGGTACTGGTACACAGAGTCAATGTGTGGGGGCAAAGGTTAGTAGAGGTAATTGAAGTAATATGTAAAAAAAAAAAAAATAATAATAATAATAATATATGTACATGTAGGTAGAGAAAGTGACTATGCATAGATAATAAACAGAGAGTGGCAGCAGTGTAAAGGAGGGGGTGGGTGGGGGACGATGACAATGCAAATAATCCGGGTAGCCATTTGATTAGCTGTTCAGGAGTCTTATGGCTTGGGGGTAGAAGCTGTTAAGAAGCCTTTTGGACCTAGACTTGGCGCTCCGGTACTGCTTGCTGTGCGGTAGCAGAGAGAAAAGTCTATGACTAGGGTGGCTGGAGTCTTTGACCATTTTTAGGGCCTTCCTCTGACACCGCCTGGTATAGAGGTCCTGGATGGCAGGAAGCTTGGCCCCAGTGATGTACTGGGCCGTACGCACTACCCTCTGTAGTGCCTTGCGATCGGAGGCCGAGCAGTTGCCATACCAGGCAGTGATGAAACCAGTCAGCATGCTCTCGATGGTGCAGGCGTAGAACTTTTTGAGAATCTGAGGACCCATGCCAAATCTTTTCAGTCTCCTGAGGGGGAATAGGCTTTGTTGTGCACTCTTCACGACTGTCTTGGTGTGTTTGGACCATGATAGTTTGTTGGTGATGTGGACACCAAGGAACTTGAAGTTCTCAACCTGCTCCACTACAGCCCTGTCGTATTTGTTTGTGTCTATTTTTAATAAACCCTTTTTGATTTATAAGTATCAGCTCTGGTAAGACTTTTGCCATCCTATTGCTTATGAGCTTTACTATAATTTTATTGTCACAATTTATTAAACGTATGTGTCTGTAAGCAGCAGAGGACTCTCCAGATTTTTCTGGTTTTAATAGAACTTAAATAACTGTTTGATATATGGAACTAGGAAGCACTGAATTGAGTGACGTGTGTTGTCATTTGTGTAAATAGGGGCGCTACTTTGTCCCAAAATATTAAATAGAATTCTATGGGAAAGCCATCCATTCCTGGTGCTTTTCTCCACGCAAATCTTTTACAGCGAAGAGGGGGGATGATTAGGTGGCCATGATGGTATGAGGGCCAGATTGGGAAATTAGCCAGGACACCAGGACACCCCTACTCTTACGATAAGTGCCATGGGATCTGTAGTAACCACAGAGTCAGGACACCCATTTAATGTCCCATCCGAAAGACGACACCTTACACAGGGCA